AATAACGTATTCGTTCTTGACTTTGTTCCAGATCTCGGCACAGCAGACAGCGACGGCATCGTCACCTTCACTTCCTGGACCCACCCTCCAGATCTTGATCCAGACTTCAGCCCCGGCGGCTTCTGGCATTCACACACCATCCCTGAGGCAGAAAGAACAAGGGCGTTAGCAACAATTCAACACTCAGCAGCAGAGACAACAGCAGAAACAACATCGGCAGCAGCAGAGACAACAGCGGAAACAACATCGGCAGCAGCAGAGACATCAACAGCAGCAGCAGGAACGTCAACACCAGTCACTGGTCCTTCAACGGCACCACTCCTCGTCGACGACACACCACCGACACCCGCGCAACAACTACACCCAGCACCACGAGAAGTTCATCGAAGCGCCAACTTCACCGCCAGCTTCTATTCCAACTCCGATATGTATCGGCGCTCACCCGGACATCGTGCCACCGAAGGAACCTGGCACACAAGAATGGGACATCCAAGCAACACGGTGTTAAACAACACGATAAGAGCAGGCGTGCTCGATAAGGACTCTCTACTCCTAACTGACGGCAGAGAACTTCAGCGAGCCCGTGGAACATGCTTCACCTGTCCCGAAGCTGACTTACCGCATCAACCGTTCGCGTCTCACCACAACCCAAGCGCACCAGCTTACGCGCCACTCGAGAAGGTGTACAGCGACATCATGTACAACCGCGAGCCTGGACAAAACGCGTACAACTACACCATCACCTTCATCGACGCAGCCACTCGATACGTCTGGCACCTAAATCTTCCAAGCAAGGACATGGCCTTCGAAGCCTTCGTCGCCTGGCTTCCAGTAGCAGAATGAGAGTCGGGCGTCAAACTAAATAGCTTCCAGTCAGACGGGGGAGGAGAATACACCTCACAGAGGTTCAAGCAGTACTTGGCTGAAAGGGGAATCAAGCGATTCATCTCCCTTCCCTACGCCCATCAACAACAAGGTGTAGCAGAAAGGATGAACAGGACCCTCCAGAACACCATGCGCAAGCTGCTACGTGGCATGCATCTGCCCAACCACCAGTGGCCCGAAGCAATGGACCACGCCGTCATGCTGCACAACTTGCTCTCGTCATCATCGCTCCCGAACAACGCATCACCGCATCTGCTGTGGACAGGAAAACTGGGCAGCACAAAAATGTTAAGAGTCTTCGGCTGCATGGTGCAGTACCGCCCCCCATCTGCATGAGCTAGCCGATTCTCACAACGCGCACAGTGGGGACTACACCTGGGCATCGAAAAACACTACAACGCATGGAAGATTTTCGACGTCGAGACAAAGGAAACAGTAGCAGCACGTGATGTCATCTTCTACGAAAACCTCACCCTCCAGTATTACCTTGCCAACTTGCAAGAAAGAAACCCTGATCGTTCCGATGGTTTTCTTGGCACCCGAGCCTTCGCCTCGGCAGACGATGAAGCTGACTGGGACGAGCAGAACATGGAAGAAGCCTCGGAAGAAGCCGGACCTCTCCCCTACTGCTCCGTCAACGTGCCAATGGACGACGAAAACCCACGCGAAAGCATCAACGCCGAAACCTATTACCATTTCGCTGACAACGGTTACGTTACACCTGCACAAGTCAACACCGACGAAGCAGAACGCGTAGGACCCAACTTCACACCTGATCCAGAAGCAGTAGACGAAGCTGTTTATCCCGCGGACATGTCACTCCCCCGCTACACACAGAGTGGACTCCAAATCCTTGGGCTCGTCACCGCAGTTCACGACGCAGCCATTCCTAAAGAGCCTGCGACAGTTCAACAGGCTCTGGGGGGGGAACATAAGGAAAAATGGCGCGAAGCCATGGACAGGGAGCTAAAGGCACTGGAGGAAGGCAACACCTGGAAGGTCGTCCCTATCGGCGTAGCACGGAACAAAACAGTACTCACCGGGAAGTGGGTCTTCCGTGTGAAGACAAAGGCTGACGGCACCATCGACAAGTTTAAAGCTCGCTGGGTCGTACGCGGCTTCGACCAAGAACACGGACGCGACTTCACCGAAACATTCGCTCCGGTCAGTCGACACACTTCACTCCGAATCCTCCTCGCGATCGCCGCCATGAAGAAGAAGAAGCTGCGGCAAATCGACGTCGCGAACGCATTCCTCTACGCACCTGTTGACGCAGAAATCTTCGTCGAATTACCGCACGGCTCCAACGGCGAGCCCAATCAAGTCTGTCAGCTGCTGAAGTCGCTCTACGGCATCAAGCAAGCTCCGCGGCTATGGCAACAATACCTGCACGCTCGCCTCATTCGCATCGGCTTCAAACAACTACCGCACGATCAGTGCATGTACCGGCTCACGAAGGGCACCGACTACATCCTGTTAATCGTCTATGTAGACGATCTACTCTACATCGGCTCGACCGACGGCATCACTGTCAGATTTATATGACAGAGCTACTGTAGGCTATAGTGGGGTAGCACATATGGGGTACAGTTTTCTAGGGTTTGTATTTGTACCAAACTTTCCCTTAGTCATTCTCATTCCTCGTTTCTTCTCATGGTATCGAGCAGGTTCCCTAGTGGGAACGAATCCTAGGGCCCACCACCACGAAAGTTTTTTTTTCCTGCCCGGAGCGCGCTTCGCTCAGGCCCGAGTCGCGCCCTGTGTGCTCTCCCTACCGTCGCGCCCTCGCTAGGCCCCTCACGGCCCCGTCGCGTCGCCCTTAGCGGCCCTCTCACGGCTCGTCGCGCCACCCCTACGGCCCCTCGCGCCGCCCTTACGGCCCCTCGTGCCGCCCCTTACGGCCCCTCGCGCCGTCCCTTACGGCCCCTCGCGCGGCCCCTTACGCCCCTTACGGCCCCTCCCGCGGCCCCTCACGCCCCCCCCTACGGCTCGTCGCCGCCCTCCGCGGCCCCGCCACCTACCTGTGCGGCCCCGCCACCTACCTTTGCGGCCCCGCCACCTACCTGCGGCCCCGCCACCTACCAGCGGCCCCGCCACCTACCTGCGGCCCCGCCACCTACTTGCGGCCCCGCCACCTACCTGCGGCCCCGCCACCTACCAGTGGCCCCGCCACCTACCTTTGCGGCCCCGCCACCTACCTGCGGCCCCACCACCTACCTGCGGCCCCGCCACCTACCAGCGGCCCCGCCACCTGCCTGCGGCCCCGCCACCTACTAGCGGCCCCGCCACCTACCTGCGGCCCCGCCGCCTACCTTTGTGGCCCCGCCGCCTCCTCTCAGCGGCCCCGCCGCCTCCTCCCAGCGGCCCCGGACGCCGCCCTCTCAGCGGCCCCGCCGAGCCGCCCAGCAGCCGAGCCGCCCAGCAGCCGAGCCGCCCAGCCGCCGAGCCGCCCAGCAGCCGAGCCGCCCAGAAGCCGAGCCGCCGAGCCGCCCAGCAGCCGAGCCGCCGAGCCGCCCAGCAGCCGAGCCGCCGAGCCGCCCAGCAGCCGAGCCGCCGAGCCGCCCTGCAGCCGAACCACCCGAGCCGCCCTGTCCGGTAAGAGCAGCGCCTCTTTCACAGCACTGCCCTCACCCTACTGTTTGCACTGCTAGTCTACTGCTGTCATGGCTACCCCTAGTGTCCTCGCTTTTGACGCTGAGGGTCGGGCCATTGACTTTGATGTCTGGATAGATGACCTGCAGCTTTTCTTACAGTGCGACAGAGCAGACGGCCTCTCCCTCTTTGACCTCACTTCTGGTGCCTCTCCTGCCCCCGCTGCTGATGCTGACGCCACTGTTCGCTCACAGTGGGCCACGCGCGATGCTGCTGCACGTCTTGCTGTGCGTCGCCACCTGCCTACCTCTGAGCGTGCGCACTTCAGCCAGTACAAGAGTGCTCAGACCTTGTACGACGCTGTAGTTGCGCGCTACTCCTCCCCTGCCACTGCTGCACTGAGCCGCCTCATGCTACCGTACCTCTTCCCTGACCTTGCTGCCTTTCCCACAGTCGCTGACCTCATTACGCACCTCCGCACTAGTGACACTCGCTACCGCGCTGCGCTTCCTGCTGAGTTCTGCGCCAAGAACCCCCCCCCCATGTACATCACCCTCTACTACATAGTCACCCGGCTCCCTGACTCCCTTCGCGTAGTCAGGGACCACTTCCTCTCAGTTTGCCCCACCACTCTCACCGTTGACCTCCTCGAGAAGTCCCTCCTAGCAGCAGAGAAGAGCATAGTAGCTGTAGGAGCCTCTCGTGGTGACCCTCGCACCCCCATCTTTGAGGGGTGTTCCCCCTCCCCCCTTTTGCCCTCTGTTGCCTCTGCTGCTGCGGCCGACCTCGTTGGGCTTGAGTCGGTCGGTGCGGCGTCTACCCCTAGCGGGAGACGCCGCCCTGGCAAGGGCAAGGGGGGCAGGGGCACTGGAGGAGCTAGCGGGGGCGGTGGAGGCGGCGGTGGAGGCAGTGGAGGGGGTGGGGGTGGCGGTGGGGGTGGTGGTGGGGGTGGAGGTGTCGGTGGCGGCGGTGGAGGCGGAGGCGGCGGCGGCGGTGGCGCTGGGAGCGGAGGTGGCGGCGGTGGAGGAGGCGGCGGCGGAGGAGGTGGAGCTGGTCGGGGTGGCGCTGCGCAGAGGGTCGGCTCCGGTGGTGGTCAGCGCCAGCAGCAGCAGCAGCAGCAGCAGCAGCGCACTCGTGACATCCCCCCCCCTCAGCAGCTCCGTGAGTGGTACGCTGCACGCCAGCGGGGTTGGGGTACTGGTCCGTGCACCTACGTCCCCCCGCACACCCCGTTCCCCCCGCACACCCCATTCCCCCCGCACCCCCTCCCCTCCCCTCCCTTTGACACGGTGCTCCATGCCCCCTCCCTTTTGCATTTATATTTTCGACCCTTTCTCTAGCTATGGGCCGTTCGTGACTTCTAAGGACATACCTGTTTCATGGTTTCATCCGTTTTTTTAAACCCCTCCGTTTCTGCTCGATTTACAGCGTTCGACTGGGAGGATTTTCGTTCATGGATTGTCGGCCATTGGGATCAAATAATGGAATGTCGGTCGAACGTTGAGAGCCTGAAGGGCCTTCTAATGGCTCTTTCAAGTATGTCTGAAGGGGAGGGGAGTGGTGAACGGGGTGGCATGGAGAGAGGAGTGGTATGGAAGGGAAGGGAGGGTAGGGGGGGGTGACATGGGGAAGGAAGTGGCAAGGGGATGGGAGTGGGGCATGTGGGAGGGGGTAGCGGGTGTTGATTGGGGTGGTATGGGAAGAGGAGTGGCTTATGGAAATGAGTTCTTTCTCCTCTCCTTCTACTATGTTCCTCCCTCATCTTACAGACTACCAAAGAATAGACGGTGAGGAGCACTTGAATGCTCTACTTCAAGCCTGCCCCATCCCGCCGAAGGTATACGAGGACTTTGCTGCGGATGACTTTGAGGAAGTCCGGATCAATTTCGAGGAGGTATGTGTGGCATGGGAGGGGTATGTGTGGCATGGGAGGTGTGTGTGTGGCATGGGAGGGGTATGTGTGGCATGGGAGGGGTATGTGTGGCATGGGAGGGGTGTGTGTGGCATGGGAGGGGTATGTGTGGCATGGGAGGTGTGTGTGTGGCATGGGAGGGGAGGGGTATGTGTGGCATGGGAGGGGTATGTGTGGCATGGGAGGTGTGTGTGTGGCACGTGAGGGGTGTGTGTTGCACGGGAGGGGTGCGTGTTGCACGGGAAGGGGTGTGTGTTGCTCTGGAGGGGTGTGTGTTGCACGGGAGGGGTGTGTGTTGCACGGGAGGGGTGTGTGTTGCACGGGAAGGGTGTGTGTTGCACGGGAGGGGTGTGTGTTGCACGGGAGGGGTGTGAGTTGCACGGGAGGGGCACTTTTGTTGATGAAAAGCACACAACATCATTTTTAACCCCCTATCTGCCCCTCTCTCCCCTGCTCCCTCTCACCTGCTCCGCTCTCCCTCTCACCTGCTCCGCTCTCCCTCTCACCTGCTCCGCTCACTAAATTTTTAACCCCCTATCTGCCCCTCTCCCTGCTCCCTCTCACCTCCTCCGCTCCCACCTGTCCTCATTTCACAAACCAGATCCAGGCGGCCTTTTTTAGATTGCAACAGCAGGTGGAGCTGCGGCTGCTCGAGCTGGGAGGTGCGATGATTCAGCGGAACGCGCAGAGCGAGGGGGGGCTGCCATCAGGTGAAGGTGAGATGGCGAGTGTCAGCTGTGATGTATTTTGCGTCGTCTCAAACTGCACTGCATGGCTGTGGGGACTGCTGTTGTAGCTGCTACAGTTGCTATAAAATCAATGGGGAAAGGCACGGATGAGCTGAAGGGTAGGGGAATGTGAGAGTGCAGGGTAAGGGAATGTGAAAGTGCAGGGTTGGGGCATGTGAGAGTGAAGGGGAGGGGGATGTGAGAGTGCAGGGTAGTGGACTGTGAGAGTCTGGAGTAGGGGAATGTGAGAGTGCAGGGTTGGGGAATGTGAGAGTGAAGGGTAGGGGAATGTGAGAGTGCAAGGTAGGGGAATGTGGGTAGGAAGGAACTTCTCCGTTCCCCAACTGCTGCCAACCAACCTGTCGTGGCTGTCAGTGCCGTTGATGTCAAGCATGAGGGTGAGCGGCTTAAAGCCTTGCTTTACCCGCACACATCACCTTGTCCCTCACCCTGACCCCCTCAACCTCTCCACTCCTCCTTCAAACCCCCCACAGAGTGTGGAGGCGAAGGCGGAGCTGGAGGCGGAAGTACCCCCACTTTTCCCACTAGGGATGAGGGGGAGCACGGCACGCACGGCACTCCTGCCAGCAGCAGCACCGGCGACGCCAGCAGCAGCACCGGCAACGCGGTCAGCAGCTCCAGCAACGCCGACAGCTCCAACCGCCAGTCCCCTGCAGCCAGCAGCTCAACGGCAGACCCTCACCCACTCCCACATGGTAAGTGCGCCTTTCCCTCAACGGCCCTGTCATTTTCTCATACCTCAGCGCCACTGCTGCTGCTGCTTCAGCTTTGTCACGTCACTCCCACAAGGTGAGTGAGCGTGCCACTGCTGCCGCTCATTTGAAGTGTTGAGACCCTCCCTCCTAAACCAAGTGTGCACGGAGGATCTGCACGCGGAGATGTTTTCCCACCCTTCACCTCCGTTCTGTCCGCCCCTTCCTCCTGCCTCCTCCCAATGACCAGGGCGTGCACGGAGGATCTGCAGGCGGAGATGCTTTCTCTCCCCTCATGCTGTTCCCCACTGTGCTGTCATTCATCCCACGCCACTCACCCCCATGTCCGCCTTCCCATACCCCTCCCTCCCTCACCTCCCTCAGACATACACGGTGGAGATGGATCATGAAAGCGAGGGTGCTGTCCTCCTTTTCCATGCCATTCACCTCGTGTACGTCCCTCCATGCCCCTCTCTCCTCCCACCAGGCGTACACGGAGAGCATGGAGGCGGGGGCGGGGAACATTCAGCTGCACATACAGCTACTGCTGCTGCTGTAGCCCACGAGGGGCATGACGAGGGGGATGGCACCTTCGTCAACAGCAGCTCCAGTGAGGAGAGCATATTTGTCCTTAGCAGCATCAGCGCCCGCAGCAGAAGTAGCACCAGCAGCACGAACAACTCACGTGGTGAGTGCGCCACCTCCCTCATGCCCCACAGTCATTTTGTCACGGCTCACTGTGCCCGCACTGCATCTATCATTTTGTAATTGCTCACAGTACCCTCAGTTCCCCCCAGTCATTCTGTCATTGCTCACAGTACCCTCAGTTCCCCCCAGTCATTCTGTCATTGCTCACAGTACCCTCAGTTCCCCCCAGTCATTCTGTCATTGCTCAGTACCCTCAGTTCCCCCCAGTCATTTTGTCATTGCTCACAGTACCCTCAACCCTCACTGTCATTTTGGCACAGTGCACTGTGCCTGCAGCTTCTCTTGCTCTTTGGCACGGCGAGCCATAACCGCAGCCTCATCCCCCCCTCCCCTTTTCCTTCCCTTTGGCACAACACTCCATTCTCCCCCTCTTCATTTACATTTCGCCCATTTCTCGAATTATGGACTGTTCATGTAGCTTCTATGAACGGTATTTTTTCATGATTTCAGCTGTATCTTTTAATTACTCTGTGTCTGCCCTCTTCCCAGCGTCCGATTCGAATTATTTTTTGACAGAGCTAGACGAGCAGAAGAAGCAAGTAGAGGCGAATATGGCGGACGACAAGACACTAAAGAAGCTGATAGATGCTGACCGAGGTATGTGGTAGGCGGATGGGAGCGTGGGAGCGGCATGTGGAAAGGGTTGCGTGGGGTGGGGTGGCATGAGGAAGGGAGTGGCATGGGGATTGGCATATGTAACAAGCACTGTCTCATCTCCATCCACTATTTTTCCTTCGCACCTGTCAGATTTTAAGGAAAAGGGAGGCGACAGGACCAAGAAGTTGAATAAGCTGCTCAGAGCCAACTTCGACGAGAGATTTGCACTCGCCAATCGGGCGGATTTTGCTGAACGCGCATTTCTAGGAGTCTGCGAGGAACATTACAAGGTATGCCACATTGTTTGTACTCGCGTCGTCACGTTGATTGATTGGCGTGGCGCGTTTGCTTTTAGAGACATTGCGCTGATAGCATGTGTGCGTGTGCTTGCTGATGTGAAGTAATACACTTCTTTTGCCTCATTTTCTCCTGAAATTATGAAGTTGCAGTGCGGTAGCCTAGGACGCCATCACACAGGTGGTTGGCTTGGCGTCAGTGCACGCTGGCAATTAACTGCTTCCTTCTCACTTGCCCCTCCCTCACCTACCCCCCTCTCACCTACCCCCTTCTCACTTACCCTCCTCTTACTTGCCCCACACTCACCTGCTTTTGTTGTTGCATTTACCAGGTTCAAGCGAGGGTTGTTGAGTTGGAACGTCAGGTTGAGGAGCAGCGATATGCGGCTGAGAAGAATGAGAGACTGGTGAGTGGCACAAACCTCTATACTTCATCTGCCCCCTTTTGAACTCCTTCACACTCACTTACCCTCCTCTCACCTATCCTCCTCTTACATTACCCCGTCTCGCCACCTCTCTAACATACCTTTTCTCTCACCTGCCTTCCTTCCTCTTTGCCTTCCTGCAGTTGTCTGAGCTGGCGGGGTCGCGGGGGTTGTTGGCAGAGGAGCTCAAGCGCACGGTTGAGCGGTTGAGCAAGGAGGTGGAGCAGTCAAATGCGCAGCTGCAGACTTCGAGGGAGAAGTGGAGGCAGAAGAAGGAAAAAATGAAGAGGACGTTGGAGGAGCAGAGAGAGGAGGTGGAAGAGGTGAGTGTGCGCTTTGATGAACTTACCTTTGAATTGATGTACGTTATTGTTTCTTGTACTCAATACGTGAGATGCTTGATTGCAGTTTCCAGTGCGCCCACCAGCACACACATTTCATGCACGCGCCTGCTTGCTCTTCTATGCTGTGCGTGCAAGGAGGTGGGGGAGGGAGGGATGAAGAGGGGAGGGGGAATGAGTATGATGGTGATTTTTAAATTCACACATTTCTGCTCTGTTCCTGCAGTGTCATGAGCAGGCGGAGAGAGATGCAGAACTGCTGAAGAGGGCCGCTCACCTGCATGAGAGGGATTCTGAGGTGGAGCAGTTGAAAGCTCGGCTGGCCGAGCTGAGTGCTCAGCAAGCTGAGAGAGATGATGAGGTGGAGCAGATGCGCTCTCAGCTGGCTCAGATGAGAGCTGAGATGGAGGAGAAGGACGCCCGACTGAAGGCAGTGGCCGAGGAACAGGATCGCTTTAAAGAGGTAGGCTCAGGTGGGGGGAAAATGGGTGGCGGGCGGGAAAACTTTTGGTTTTCAAGTAGGGACAACCCTAAACCATTGTTCCTGGCCAGGACAACCCCACTGACGGACCGTTCCACAACTGAGTAGGTGGTTGGGCAGCCGCCGGTCTGTGATCCGAATCTGTTTGCGGCAGCCACACTCGCGAGGTGTAGCTAAAGGTACACCCAATCTGAACTGCACCGCCATTGCGAACTGGTGGGGGCTTAGGCGAAGTGAAGGGGTGTGAATGGGATTGTCAGTAGCCAGTCGCCAGCTCCATAGCCTGTAAGTGAGAACAGTCGTTGTGTGTGTCCTGAATTCAGGTTGACCTGCATGAGCCGTGATGCTACTACTGTTGAGCATACTGGTGTGCCTGTACTTTGGGGGCAAGCGCATGTTGAAGAGGTGCGCCAGTGGGGTCTTGTGTCGCCTTGGCCAGCAGATCCCGTGCCTCTGTCGGTAGTCTGGCCTCGCCCTCGGTCGGCCACTGGGCCAGTGGGGTAAGGGCCTGGTACTTCGCTGTCATTTGTGTGGAGACAAGTGCCAGTGGGGATTCCGCGCCCGTGCTGATGCCTGCCTGTGATCAAGTCCCGGGCTTGACTGTCGCTGGTGAGGAAACTGTGTTCTCCTTCCACTGACGGGTCGGTTAGTCCGAGCCCCCCCAAGGATGGAGGCAGAGAGGCTTGAGCGCATGTCCTCGCCTGCTCCACTTCACCCCGGGGAGGATGGTGCGCCAGGCTTGGAGGAGGGTTTGTAGGAGGCAGATTCCTCAGCGTGACCACTCCTCTGCTGGGAAAAAGTTCCGTGGTGTCGTTCGGATCAGATATCCCCTCGTGCGTTACGGGTAGGCCCTCAGGGAGAGCATTGTCTCCAAGCGACGTGGTGGGCCACACCGATGATTTCTAGAAATTGCAGGTGAGGCCGTCCTGCGCTAGCAGGGGCGTTAGCTCCCTTAACGCGCCGACCGTTGCCGTGCGGGTCCAATCAAGGTTATGTCGGCTGCGTATGCGAGCACCGTGACATCTGGATGCGCCGCTGCAACATGCCTGAGGTGATGCTGGATAGACGCCGCAAATAGCAGGGGGCTTGGGGATCCCCTTGTCTGAATCCTCTTCCGCTGGTGAGTGGCGTGGAATATATTTTTGGATCTAGCAGCAGCGGTGATGATGTTGCATGGAACGAGCGTGTGAACGGGAGGAGAGGTGCTAGCGGGGATCCTTGGAGGTCATTGATGAACGCACCCCTCTCAATGGAGGTGAACACGTTCTCAATGTCGAGCTGGAGGACGAGGCTGGAGGGCCGCACCGAGGTGAGATCGCTGACTGCGTGGGTGACGAATTTCGCCCCTCCAGGGACTGCCACGCCGGAGAAGGAGGTGAGTCGAACGAATCCGAGCCTTTACCACTACCATATGCTGCACTCTCCACACTTCATGGCTGTCCTCCGTCTATCTCAGCGAGGGAGGGGCGGAGGGGGGCGAGCGGGAGAGTGTGCATGCGCTGGGGGAGGCATTAACGGCCTTGGATGTGTCTCGGATGGCGCTGCAGAACAAGCACATTTAGAAGGAGGTGAGGGGGCGTAGCTGTGGAATGACTGGCACTGCGTGGGTCATGGGGCATGGGTCAGGGGGCGTGGGGCATGGGCCCTGGATGTGGCATAGACGGCACAGGGGAGCAAGTGGATTTAGGAAAATGTGATGGGGACAGCAGCCAGTTGACAACTAGCATTGGGTGGGTGAGGTGGGGCACAGGGTATGTGGCATGAGTTGGGTGGGAAAAGTCTTGCAAGCACCGAAGAACAAGCAAATTCAGGAGGAGGTGAGGTGGCTGGGGCATGCGGTGAGGGATGTGACATAAGACTATGTTACGATGGGCATATGATCATTCTCGCCAATCCTCACCAGGTCTTCCAGCTTGTCTTCGTATTCCCTGATTGGTTCCTGCAGCATGTCTCCCCACCTCCTTCCCGCCCCTGTTCTCTCCACCCTAACACTCTGCCTCGTTCCGTCTACACATGTTTATCCAGGGCCTCCTGCAAGCTCCGGCTGCCACCACATCAGCAGCAGGTGCAGGGGGAGAGGAAAAGGGAGGGGGAGGAGGATGGGGAGGGGACGGGGAAGAGGAAGGAGGAGAGAAAGGGAAAGAGAAGGGGGAAGAGGAAGAGAAAAAAAGGGCACTGATATTTTTGGGTGCACGTACCGGCCCCAGCGGGCGTGTTATGAAGTTAGAATGAAGGATCCAAAAGGCGACTGGAAAGATGTGGGTGATTACAAGGAGAAGGAGATGGCTGGCTGCGCGTCTGAGAGTATTCGGGTGTTTTGGGGGGTTGAAGTCCCTCAATCACCCCAGTATATTACTTCGAAGCAGATCGATGTGATAAGCAGGATGGGTGGAACACCAGCTAAAATGAGCTGGAGGCAGGTCGTGAAGATCCTTTGTGAGGGGGAAGAGGCAGCCATTGAAGAGCTGATTGCTAAGAGCTGGGCGGTGGGGAGGACATACGGGAGGGGCAAGAAGGGGGACAAGCAGGGTGACTAGAAGTGGAGCAAGAAGAAGGGCTGAACTTCAAGTTTTTTTTTTTTTATTCTTTTTGTTTTAGCCTTCTAAAATTTCTGTACTCTGAAAGAACCAGGGCCTACTTGCGAACTCAAGGTACTATGTTTTCCAGTGTAGTTCTTTTCCCAGGTCCGAAATCCAGGGTTGTTCATGAGCCTTACCGTACTCTGATTTGTCAAAGCAACCCTATTCCTCGGAAAAAAAACAACTCAAGCGACAAGTGAGAGAAAGATTATGAAAACAAGCGACAAGTGAGAGAAAGATGCAAACGACGAGTGAGAGAAAGATTGAGAGAACAAACGACAGTTGGGAGAAAGGTTGAGTGCCTAGTGAGTTCAAAATGGCAAGAACAAATATCTAGTGAGTGCAAAATTGCAAGAACAAGTGTCTAGCGAGTGCAAAACTGCAAGAACAAGGGCCTAGCGAGTGCAAATTGCAAGAAAAAGGGCCAAGCGAGTGCAAAATTGCAAAAACAAGTGTCTGGCGAGTGCAAAATTGCAAGAACAAGTTTCTAGCGAGTGCAAAATTGCAAGAACAAGTGTCTAGCGAGTGCAAAATTGCAGGAACAAGTGTCTAGCGAGTGCAAAATTGCAAGAACAAGTGTCTAGCAAGTGCAAAATTGCAAGAACAAGTGTCTAGTGAGTGCAAAATTGCAAGAACAAGGGCCTAGCGAGTGCAAAATTGCAAGAACAAGGGCCTAGCGAGTGCAAAATTGCAAGAACAAGTGTCTAGCGAGCGCAAAATTGCAAGAACAAGGGCTAGCGAGTGCAAAATTGCAAGAACAAGTGTCCAGCGAGTGCAAAATTGCGAGTGCAAAATTGCAAGAACAAGTGTCTAGCGAGTGCAAAAGTGTAAGAACAAGGGCCTAACGAGTGCAAAATTGCAAGAATAAGGGCCTAGCGAGTGCAAAATTGCAAGAACAAGTGTATAGCGAGTGCAAAATTGCAAGAACAAGGGCCTAGCGAGTGCAAAATTGCAAGAACAAGTGTCTAGCGAGTGCAAAATTGCAAGAAGAAGGGCCTAGCGAGTGCAAAATTGCAAGAAAAAGTGTCTAGCGAGTGCAAAATTGCAAGAACAAGGGCCTAGCGAGTGCAAAAGTGCAAGAACTGTTGAGTGATGCTACCATTCGCATTCACGTCTGTCTGCCTCCCATCATATGTTCGTGCGTTGCATGCGTGTTGTGAGTGTGTGCAAGAATTTGTGTTTTGTGCGGTTTGGTTTTTCTCAGTGTGTGTGTGAATGTTATTTGGCTTGAGCAGATATCTGAAGTGACTCCTCTGCTCAAGAGCTTTCCGAGGAACCAAGTATCGCTTCAATCGGAGCACGAACAAGAAAGTTACGAACGTTGGAGTTCGTATGCTTTTGATATTTGGTTGTGGTGACTATGGGAAGTTGTGGGGTTGACTCAATATGGGGTACAGACTTTTGGGGGTTGGGAAATTCGTCTTTTCTACTGTAGTTGCTGCCAAATGGTTGGGAGAAACCAAACCAGGTTGGCAAGTGTGGCCAAGTTGGGTTGAGGTGGATTGTGGAGGTTGGGATAGTGACAAAGGTCAAAGTTGGGTTGCCTATGGGGAAGGGAATTGTATGGCATGGGGTTTCCTTGGTTGGGGACTCTCTTGGGACCTTCCCTCTCGTCCTCCTCATCCCCTCCTACCTGGTTCTATTGCTACTCTAACTTTCTTGTGTGAACTTGTGAGATCATTGTGATTGAGTTACGTTTTCTATGGCAGCATACCCCCTAGTGCGCCGAAGTTCATAACTCGAGTTATACTCCATATTCTGATACTATTCAAATTGGGAAAGATAGCCACGGTCAAGGGCTACAACATACTCGAGTTTGAAAGAATTCTAACAGTGGACCTTTCGTCGACGACGTTTCTTGTGACGACGACTTTTCTGTCCAGAATAGTAGTTGACGATTTTGAGATATTTCAGCCCCTAATCTTCATAGACTCCGTCCTTAATCTCTAACAAGAACAAGGGCCTAGCGAGTGCAAAATTGCAAGAACAAGGGCCTAGCAAGTGCAAAATTGCAAGAACAAGTGTCTAGCGAATGCAAAATTGCAAGAACAAGGGCCTAGCGAGTGCAAAATTGCAAGAACAAGGGCCTAGCGAGTGCGAAATTGCAAGAACAAGGGCCTAGCGAGTGCAAAATTGCAAGAACAAGTGTCTAGCGAGTGCAAAATTGCAAGAACAAGGGCCTAGCCAGTGCAAAAGTGCAAGAACAAGGGCCTAGCGAGTGCAAAATGGCAAGAACAAGGGCCTAGCGAGTGCAAAATTGCAGAACAAGTGTATAGCGAGTGCAAAATTGCAAGAACAAGGGCCTAGCAAATGCAATATTGCAAGAACAAGGGACTAGCGAGTGCAAAATTGCAAGAACAAGTGAATAGCGAGTGCAAAATTGCAAGAACAAGGGCCTAGCGAGTGCAAAATTGCAAGAACAAAGGCCTAGCGTGTGCAAAATAGCAAGAACAAGGGCCTAGCGCGTGCAAAATTGCAAGAATAAGGGCCCAGCGTGTGCGAAATTTCAAGAACAAGGGCCAAGGCAAAATTGCAAGAACAAGGTCCTAGCGTGTGCACAATAGCAATACCAAGGGCCTAGCGTGTGCAAAATAGCAAGAACAAGGGCCTAGCGAGTGCAAAATTGCAAGAACAAGTGTCTAGAGCGTGCAAAATTGCAAGAACAAGTGTCTAGCGAGTGCAAAATTGCGAGTGCAAAATTGCAAGAACAAGTGTCTAGCGTGTGCAAAAGTGCAAGAACAAGGGCCTAGCGAGTGCAAAATTGC